CCCAAAACCAGCTGTTGGGGGGACAGCATGAACAAGGCAAGCAAGAACTCAGTACCACTACAGCAGGACCATGGGTCACTGCTTAAGTGCCTGGTGCTGGCTGCTGAGGGGGAGTTAGTGTCTTCCCCTGTTTTCCTGCGCCTGAGGCATGTCTGTGGATTCACCAGCAAACTTTAAGCTGCACTAGCCAACGCCCAGGGGGTGCTCGGGTCCAGGCCAAGGTCCCTCAGTCCATTTGCTATGCAATATATGTTTTTTCCAAAAAACCAAACTTTTGACCTCTCAAGAGTGGCTTGCTGACATAAGCTTTTCTACTCTGTAAATGACAGAAATCGAGTCAGTGAATTCATCAGCAATGTGAGTGGCTTCCATCTCTGTTAAACAAAAACAACAAAAAAATGCAGCTGAGCAACCACATTCTTATTTTGGCTGCTCAGAGATTATGCCTCTGAACTCCCTCACTAACTCCACAGGGTTGTGTCAGTGGAGAAAAGCAAGAGAAGCACAGAAGAAGCAAAGACGTTACACAGTATTCCATCTGTCTGTCCCCACAACTTTTTGGCAACTTGTCAAGAGTATATGGCTATACTGGAGCAGACCTATGCTGTTCTAGGAGTCTGCTGTTTTGGACAGTGCCTAATAATAATCATAGTTACCACACTGATGGACATATAGGTCAAAGGAATTTTAAGACTGACATGTGCTCATCACATGTACATTCTGTACAGGCCACCAAAAAGCACACCAGTTAATGGAGTCTTCTTCCTGAAAATAATCTGCACCTATATAGGCTACACAAACTCACTTTAGCCTTCCTGCTATGATCTTGTGGGCTGATAGTGGTTTAAAAAGGATCAGAGCTGTCCTCAAACCACCAGCTGAACAAGCATACAATCTACTCCTAGAATTTAAATCACTAGCTCCAGCTGGTCCATTATGTATGTCACATCTAGCTTGGATGTGAGGGTACTGTTTATAAAGCTGTATCCTTTTGTTTCTGCAGATCTTAACATAGAAAAAAGTTTGTACAAGCTTCCTCTGTAAATGAATTGAAACAAAGACACTCTCCGAAACTGCTTTGGATGAAACAAGATCTGTTCAGCAACAATTGCTTACACACCCATTCAAAAAGTAAAGCTAGCACAGGAGGCCAGTATGACACAGAAATAAGATCAGCTGATACTGAAGTGTTGTGCCTGTGTGTAAACATTCTGCCACATGAGTAATTTAGCAAGAAAGCTTTACCTCAGATCAAGACACGAAAGGGAATGACATGCTCTCTTGCACAAGTGTTAAAAGAAAATTGAGCATGAAGTTTCACTACATGAAATATTAACAGGTTTCCTTCCTCAGAATCAGACCAAGTCCCTTTTTCTTTCCTTAATGCTCTGTAGTCCAATAAATTATTTTCCTCCCTTCCTCTCTCACTGTTCCTTTTTATTAAGTCCACTTATTTCTTGTATTGGCTACTTATAGAGTTCTGGACTTTGCTTGCAATAATAATCTCTCCCCTTGCCAGCAAAAGAATGGCTACTTTACAGATACCTTCAGTATCGAGATTCATCAGCACAAAAATGGACACCAGAAAGCAGAACAACAATAAAAGAAGAGCTGAAACTACAACTCCACAGTGATTTGCTAAGATTAAGATTCCAGCATTCAAGTGACTTAAATAGTAAATAAGACACCATCACACAAACAATTGGAAAAGTCACTAAGATCAGTATAGATTATGGTATTTTGTGTCCATGAGACACTACAAAACCCTTCAGTTTTCTTAACTGAAAAGGTCAGTTCAGACCTCAGAAGAAATAAAAGACCAAATCAAAGTAAAAACAGCACATCAATCTGTATGTTCTGTAGAATACAGAATAAAAAGGAGTCAGTAATACACAAATTCCCTTCATGATTTACTATTAAATATTTTATACCACGTGGGGAACAACATGCCTTTTGCAGAGCTAGCATAGTAGTGAATCAAACATAAATCATGCCTACAACAGAGAACATGGGATCAGAGAACGTACTTCCCGTTGCACTAAAATAAAGTAAAACGCACCTTAGCCCTGTATGGTTTAAGAACAGAAGCAAAAGGAAAGCTGCCATGAAATTGTAACTACAAACAGACATCCAACTTGTGCAAGATCCTCCACTGACAGGCAAAGATAACAACACTAAGGAGAAGCAAGAGATGTTTGTGTCTTCAGTTATGATGCCAGATATGTAGTCATATTCTGCTTCCAGTTCCATAGGATTAATGTGATTTTGAGCAGACTTGGTCATGCCAGATGCAGTGCCTTTAAAATACAATAAATTTTAAACATAGCCTTTGATGCAAAAAGTCCATTAACAAGTCCATGACAGACCAATACAGATCATCTATATCCACCATATTATAAACCATTTCTATAAGGATTTGATACTGGCCATAGCCAAAGAAGAAGCCTGGAAGGCTTCCAATTAGACCTTGTATTACAGTCCCTTAATGATCCTCAGGTCCTTTAACAAAAACACTAGGGATGTGATTTTGTAGCAAATTGTTTAACATTTCAGTGCATTTCACTGTAACAGCCCTTTCTTCAGGCTCTCACATATTTGGGTACTCAAGTTTGTTCTTTACCCAAATATTGTCTCCTTTGCTCTTTCTACACGTAAAAAATACTGTTTAACTTTACAACCATACCAATTATGAAAACCTGATCTGCACAAGTGTTACTGAAAGCTTTCTACTAAAGGGTTTAAAAATTAAAGCTGATTAAGTTTGATGTTTTTATCTTTAGTTTAACTGCATTATTCCCAGTGTTTCCAAGTACACAAGCGCTGCTTCTTAAACCCTGACCAGGCAAGAATCACAGCAGCACAGCTGCATGAATGTAAATGCATGCACATGCATACTATAACAAGAGGGGAAAAATTCTATAGAGTAAGAACTCAGAAATGTGCATGGCACTGCTGATATCCCAACATTGAGCTCAACAGTTACGTACCAAACAATTAACAACCACAAAAGTTTATGGGCATCATTTCCATCAAAACTAACTCCTAGTGCAAGGGTTTTGTAATCTTGAAGTATGTGATTAAAGCTTTGCAAGTATGTAAAAGGTAAACATAACAGCTCTGGTGAGCTTTATAGCTCCTTCATCAGTTTTCTCCAGATGGATTTTTTTGATAGGTTTAGAATCCAAACTAAGAGACCTCCAAACACAAAGCAACATGTACCATAGAACACAGACATACACACATATGTAGCCAAGTCCCCTGGGTGTTTCTTTTTGCTGTTGTTTTTGTTATTTTTATGTTTTAGAGACAATCCTTATGAAATATTAGTTTCATCATATGCATACTACATTACAGGTATATTTCTACCACATGAATAAATACTTGTAATATATTAAAAAAAATCAGAACATAAATCTTGCCTTTGAAAACTTACCAATGCCCAACATATTTAAGGCTCACTAAGCAATTTCAAATTTGTACATCTCTATGTTTGAAAAATGCATTCGTAAAGTTGACAGACTTTAAAAAAGTTTGACAATCTCTCAAGTGTTTAAAAGCTTCCTTCCTCCATATGTTTATATGCTAGCTTTTCTTTCACTTCTCTCCTTTCACACTTCATGTTTTTATATTGTTGTCCTCACAAAAGGAACAAAAGTATCAAAGACACAAACAATATTCAGTTCAGCTCCTTTTAAACTTACGAAAATTCTATTAAGTACTCAGGGTAGATTTGGTTGGCATCAAAGACAACAAAGATCTTTGGGTTCCAGGTATTATCCACACAGCTGTCATACAAGTTCACAAAGCTTCCATCTTTTGAAGGAGGCCTCATGTATTTCGCGTCGCCATTGATATAGTCACCGGTTAATACACGAGCAAGAAACATGACTTTATCTGGTCTATGCAGATGGGGCTGCAGATTGACACCGTGAATTTGAAAAGTATCTCCATGCTTCATGTCCTCTTTGCAGAAACGACTGGAATATGATGCATCTCTTGCAAAATAGGTCCCTTTCAAATAAAAAATCTGATTACATTCTTATCATGACAGTTTAACTACTAGAACATGGATATGTATCAGGATGATGAAGGATGTCTGTTCTTTTTTGTTCATTAGCAATCAATTTTTTTTTCTAAATCATTAGTTTATAGCAACATAACCAAATATTTTTAGTGGGAATGTTTTAGTAGGGAGATCAGTCTTGTGATATTAGTCTTGTGATCAGTACTGCTTTGTTGGGTATCCCTTCTCCACACTCCTTGGTCCTACCAGCTGGTTGTGACGACTACATTCCTTACTGCATCCTAACTTTCTTAATTACACGTGATGTAAATGCAGAGCTATGTTAAACAGCTCTTGGAGCTCAGGGAGTACATCACAAAGAACATACTATAGGGAACACTTAACAACATTGAACTGTTAAGATTACCAAACTGTTGTATGTGACAACAATACTTACCTTTTCCATATACAGCAGCATGCATCCCATTTATTCTCCAGTCAAAGTTATGAATACATATTGCTTCTACAAATTCATTACTGGTGCCATGAAATAACATCTGCTCGTTAATAGTGGGGACACCTCTCTTCTTCTTTAGTTGAGCTTTTTTCCTACCGAGAACACACAATACAGCATTACAGGCATGTGTACAACGAAATTAAGTTACTGCTCTGAAAACAGTGCAGAGGGGACAGACCTAAAACAGTCCATACATTCCACTTTCACAAGTGCCTAGGGGATTCTAGTTTTTAAACAGATCGGAATTCTTAAGGTACGTGTTTAGAAATCATGCACTTCTAGATGCTGTGGATTACTTGCAGAAGTAATCCACGATTAGGAAAAAAGGGTGGGGGGTATACCAATTTTATCAATATTGTTCATTTGGCATTAGTTTCAGTGTAGCTGTTTTCTGCAGATACATTTTTTCAAAGAAAGGCATTTTCCTCCCATTTTGTAACAAAGTTAGTGGATTATAAAGTATGATTGCCCAGGTAAACAAGCAAAAATATTAAAAATAAAATTACCTATATTTTAGGTAAAATTACTTCAACATGATCATTTTATAATGAATTAATTTTTTTCTGAATTTATGGTTCACATACTTTCTAAAACAGGTAAGTCATGCATTGACAGGGTTACATCAGTCTAGAAAAAATTGTACTACAGGTAAACCTATATTACAGTGTGATGGGCAGAAGACCATGGCATACCTTCAATTAAAGAACAGATGTATTTCCCATCAATCTTTTTAAAGTGACTTTCTGTCAGCTGGGTTTTCCTAAAATCCATGAAGAAGTAGACTCTGGAGCTGTGTCTAAATCACTGAGCTGTTCAAAGTTATGATCCTTCGACTGTCCAGACAAAACCAAGTTGGAATACACCTTAGCTTTGTTCTTGTCTATGTACCTGAACTTTCTTCCTATAAAAGTCACAGTGCATGGAACACTGTGCCACATATCTAGGTTTATCAGGCACCTACTTAGGTTTATTAAATTAAGCAATCTGCTTATAACTGGAGTGCACACTTGAACTGAGGAAGTGTTCTCAGGGCCAACAGTTTAGATGTAGTTTCAGGAAGTCCTATTAACCAGGTCCAGGAGTAAAGATTCTTCATCATATTAATAGCATTGCAATTATGCATTCTTTATAAATAAGTACATTTCACAGAAGTGAAAATCTTGCAGTACTTAGCTTGAAAGATATGTTTATTTTGGTTTATTGTTCAGGTTTTTCTCTCCTCCATTTAGTGCAAACTAAAATAACTATGTCTGGGCAACTTAATTTTTTTGTTGTCTTTTCTTCCCTACAGCTACTTCCCAAATCAGAAGAATGTCAGTAGAATCTCAAGGGCATTTGGGAGGTTTCACTAATAATCTCGTCTGTGACATTTTGTGCCAAAGGCAGAGAGGGTCCAGGCAGTCAAGTCCCACTCGATTAGTAATTCAACAAAACCCAGGAGCCAAGATTCCCTGCATCTTGAGAAAACCACCTGTGTGAGGCAACCCCTCTGAGCTAAGGGCTAGTAATGCTGAACATCTGAAATTTTTCAATCAGCAGCCCCCTGTTATTGGCTGCTGATCTCTGATAAAGGTAGCCTAGAGTACTTCTCTTGAAATAGAGGAACACATTTATAGAAAATGTCAATAATCAATTGTTCAAAAATGTTCTGTAAAAGTCCTTCACTATCTCCAACCAGCTGATTTCATAAAACCAATTTAAAATAGTCATTAATGTGGGAACTATTGTAATGGGCAAATATGTTTTGACCACTACAATGATACAAGCAGTCATTCAAACAATGCTTAAATTTAATCACTGACCTTATCAATGAAACAAAACACTTGCTCAAACTTACGAAAGTGTAAGTAGCAATTGTTCCTCATAAGTAGTGGAATATACTGAGCACATGGGAAGATGGGTCTGCAGAATGCAGGAAT